TGTAATAACAACAGAGCAGCAGTAGTTGTAGTAGAAGCAGTAGTAGTTGTAATAACAGCAGAAGCAGCAGTAGTTGTAGTAGAAGCAGTAGTAGATGTAACAACAGCAGCAGCAGTAGTTGTAGTAGAAGCAGTAGTAGATGTAACAACAGCAGCAGCAGTAGTTGTAGTAGAAGCAGTAGTAGTTGTAATAACAACAGCAGCAGCAGTAGTTGTAGTAGAAGCAGTAGTAGATGTAACAACAGCAGCAGCAGTAGTTGTAGTAGAAGCAGTAGTAGTTGTAGTAGAAGCAGTAGTAGTTGTAGTAGACAGCAGCAGTAGTAGATGTAACAAGTAGAAGCAGTAGTAGTTGTAACAACAACAGCAGCAGCAGTAGTTAGTAGAAGCAGAAGCAGTAGTAGTTGTAGTAGAAGCAGTAGTAGTTGTAACAACAACAGCAGCAGCAGTAGGAGCAGTAGTAGAAGCAGTAGTAGATGTAACAACAGGAGCAGCAGTAGTTGTAGTAGAAGCAGTAGTAGTTGTAGTAGAAGCAGTAGTAGATGTAACAACAACAGCAGCAGCAGTAGTTGTAGTAGAAGCAGTAGTAGATGTAACAACAAGGGCTGCAGTAGTTGTAGTAAGAAGCAGTAGTAGTTGTAACAACAACAGCAGCAGTAGTTAGCAGTAGTTGTAGTAGCAGAAGCAGTAGTAGTTGTAACAACAACAGCAGCAGCAGTTAGTAGAAGTAGAAGCATAGTAGCTGGTGGTAGTTGTAGCAGTAGTAGATGTAGTAGTTACAACAGCAGCAGCAGCAGTTGTAGTAGAAGCAGTAGTAGTTGTAACAACAACAGAGCAGCAGTAGTTGTAGTAGAAGCAGTAGTAGTTGTAACAACAACAGCGGCAGCAGTAGTTGTAGTAGAAGCAGTAGTAGTTGTAGTAACAACAGCAGCATCAGCAGTAGTTGTAGTAGAAGCAGTAGTAGATGTAACAATAACAGGTTGTAGCAGCAGTAGTAGTTGTAGTAGAAGCAGTAGTAGTTAGCAGTAGTTGTAACAACAGCAGCAGCAGCAGCAGTAGAAGCAGTAGAAGCAGTAGTAGTAACAACAGTAGCAGCAGTAGAAGCACAGCAGCAGTAGTTGTAGTAGAAGCAGTAGTAACAACAACAGCAGCAGCAGTAGTTGTAGTAGAAGCAGTAGTAGTTGTAACAACAACAGCAGCAGCAGTAGTTGTAGTAGAAGCAGTAGTAGTTGTAACAACAACAGCAGCAGCAGTAGTTGTAGTAGAAGCAGTAGTAGATGTAACAACAACAGGAGCAGCAGTAGTTGTAGTAGAAGCAGTAGTAGTTGTAACAACAACAGCAGCAGCAGTAGTTGTAGTAGGCAGCAGTAAGTTGTAGTAGCAGCAAGTTGTAGTAGAAGCAGTAGTAGTTGTAACAACAACAGCAGCAGCAGTAGTTGTAGTAGAAGCAGTAGTAGTTGTAACAGTAGCAGTAGTAGTTGTGGTGGTAGTAGAAGCAGTAGTAGTTGTAACAGCAGCAGTAGTAGTGGTGGTGGTAGTAGCTGCAACAGTGGTTGTAGTTATTGCTGATAGAAGAGGATGGCTGTTCACACGGCTGGTAGCTTTATAAGACATATCTACATTCCCTTGTGAGATATATAGTTGACACATTGATATGCCATTTACTGTAGCCAACGATGACTCGCGGTAAGCGTTATCATGCAACATCAAACTGAAATATATCAACCTTAAAAAAAACGAAGGGGTCGGCATGGGTACTACAGATATGTGCCCCAGGTGCGTTTATGCATACAGAAATATACCCTAAACAAAGTCAAAATACAGAAGCTTACCCAGTACCCTGAAAGGGGGGACGAGTCCATTTTTCGCACCGCCACACCCGAAACCGTATGTAGTTCCAACTGATTCCGAGTGGTATTGTGAACCACTATATTTATTACTGTGTATGCTCGTTTCTTATACAACGCAATCAAATCCATCTAATACAACAATATGCCAGTTCCGTTTAAGAAAACAGCACAATGGACTCGTGTTAGGGTACGTTTCTGTATTCTGATTTTGGCTGGGGGGCGGTGGGGTAGCCGAAGACCCGGGTTCGAATCCCCACATGGGTACAATGTGTGAAGCCCATTTCTGGTGTCCCTCGCCGTGATGTTGCTGGAATATTGCTAAAAGCGGCGTAAAACTCAGTCAGTGATTTTGGCTGGTGCACATTTCTGTATACAGAAACGTACCTGGGTTACATATCTGTAGTACCCCCGCCGACAACGCCGGACCCCTTCAGCGTGAATTACCTGCGTCTGAGACGTTAACGTACAACAGTTACCAAGCGCAGTTATCTTGACACATGCTCCGAAACCAACAGTTTAGCTACATACTAAACTTTACGACACTGCAGAGAAAAACAGACCTGTTACCGTGCAAACAGAATCTCATAAACTTGCACCTTGTTAACCACTTAACCAGTAACGTAAACCACTCGTGCAGGCGTGATGTGACACGCACGTGCTGCACGAGACGTGTTAATAGCATGCCACAGTGCCAGACGGTAATTTGATCTTCTGACAGACGACGGTAATTGCTTGAGACACATCACGTGATATCGGAATGCCATTCATAAAGAACTCTGAGACACAACAACGTAGTACGCGTGTCTGTTTTGACGACATTCCTGTCTGGAGGGGAATGTTTGCGTCTGAAAGGGACCATCGCTGACAAGACTGGGTGGTAAGGACAGTTTCCTCTCACATTTATTCAGCAGTCTGTTTGCAGTGAAAACGTACCGATGAATTTCACTTTAAACAAAAAAGTAAATCAAATAAAGTGAAATTAAGATTGCGAATCCTCATAATTTGACCTTGCCAACTGAACATCTAAATCTCAGAATTTTATTCAACTTAGGATAAAAGTTGTTTAACAAACGATCATAGTTTCAACTCGCTCTTATTGGTATGTATTACAAGGGGGTATGCACATTAAATGAAACACCGAGAACATGTAGGGTTGGTCTAAGTTAACGCTCATCACAAACCACACATGCATTTGTTGTACTATTCCAACTACTGCGCTTACCCCCTTGTAATACAAACCAATAATGGCGACTTAAATCTATGATCGTTTGTTAAACAACTTTTATCCTAAGTTATATATACTTCTGAGATTTAAATGTTCAATTGGCAAGGTCAAATTATGAGGATTCGCAATCTTAATTTCACTATTTGATTTACGTTTTTGTTTAAAGTGAAATTCGTCACTTTTCACTGCAAACAGAATATAGCTACACTGCTGCGATTATGTGACGACTATCATGTTGAAACAGCAAAGGAGTCGGTCTGTTTCAATGTTGGGATTGAGTGACGTAATGTCTGGTTATTGTGGGATGGTAGCCCAGAGTAACGCAGGAGTGAGTGAGTTTAGTTTTACGACGCTTTTAGCAATATTAAAGCAATATCACGGTAGGGGGTCACCAGAAATGGGCATCACACATTGTACCCATGTGGGGAATCGAACCCGGCCATCGTTTACAAGGCGATTGTTAGTCGAGATGGTACTTCAAGACGATGGACGTGAGGTGAGGTAAAATTGGGTTTAACGTCGTGCTTGAGAATATTTCGCTCATATGACGACGTGCATGCGTGTGTATGTGTATGTGCGGCTGCTTGTACTAGCCCAGACTTAAGCTGGTTTTATAATGCTAGCTCACTGAGATACCATGCTGCAGTGACGCATGAATACCCCACTCAGACACAGTATACTGACTCCGAGCCGACCAGTCCTTGTTGTACCCATTAATGCCGAGCGCCAGGCAGGGACCAACAAGTACCATATTTGAACGTCTTTTGGTATGACGCGGTCGGGGATCGAACCCGCCACCTTCCGCTCTCCGGGCGGACGCTCTAACCACTACACCACGGAGGCGGTCCTCAAGACGATGGAGACGATGTTGATACATAGAGTTCTATCGATATGATCCGACTAACAATAGTACAAGTTCTGTATAGCTTCCTCTTTAACATCTTCAGCTATATCAAGGACATGGTATTATTCCAATTGAAACGAGCAGACACCCTTCAGAATCATTTTGACATAAGGGTTAAATTTACCAGCTATTTCTCTTCTAACGTATTCTTACACGTCATAACTCACCAATAACAGTCAAAGTTGAACACTCATACAAGCGACTTTCATCTTCTACTTTGAGATAAAAAATAATAGGCACAATCTCTCGTTGCCGCCACCGCAAACAATATCGTCTGCTCCGACAGATTAAAATGGCGGCGTTCGCCGGTTCCTTGAAAGTCAGGAGTTGAAGATTCCTAACACAAGCAACAATGCCGACATCGGCGATTATAGTACATCTCTTGCCCCTTCCGTTGCCACGGTTACCGACGATATCCCTTCATTTGCTCCAGCCAGCTGCCGAGTATCGGATTGCCCTCATACCAAGTTTGGCACATGTCTAACAAAGCAGGTATGACTCGTCCCTTACTCTCCAAATATGTCCAAAGCTGCTGTAAACGTAGGCCCTAGCAACGGCACAGCTATTGTCCGCCATATTGAATAAAAAGCAAAATGGCTTTGATTAAAGATTTGCGCAGTATAATTTTATATAAAACTATAAGCTGAAGAGATATAATTTCTCAAGCTAATAAACTTTAAAAAGCGTACAAAATGCACGCTGTTTGTTACATTTAAAATGATTATTAGCAGTTTAAGAGGGTTCTTCGTAATGCCTAATGCTGAGATATATATTGTTACCTTTTTGCGTCACTTCCGTTTAAATGGCGTGGATTGTAGGTGGACCAAGTTGAAAAGAAACGGACAGAAACCTGTTGAATCTCAATCGTCCCCTCTAATTAATGTTGACAAACAAGGTGTCAGCGAAAACCAAATATTACCATAATAGAGAGGTCTTAGAATGGCCAAAGAACAGACGCACCGCCTTCTGCCATCAGCCGTCAACTTGCCACGCCCCTGTTGTAAAAATGGGCTCGCCCTATAAATGCAGTCGATGCTTGATGAAGCACCACACGGCATTTTTAGCATTCCGTGGGTAGTCCTTTCTCGATCAACCATCTTCACGGCAGCAGCGAAAGAACATACGAGATGGTAAGTAGAAAATCCATCAAAAATTATCAGGATATATTTTATTTGCTTTTAGTTTACTCGTCCTATATTGATCATTCTTACAAATTATCACCTGGTCTCACATTATCAAATTAGACTTGATAATGTGACAAGTCACTATTAGTTTCAAATATCCATTAAAACGTATTGTAAAATAAAAGGATTTCCAACTATCATAGGATGTGGCTATTTCAGTATTTCTTTCACAATTGAAAAAAAAGTGTATTTTTTTTAATATAAGTAAAATTGAATTCGTAATTAATTTTCATTAATGCAAATATTTTAAATAATGTTCCACTGCAATGACAGCTATTAAAGCAGAGTCCTCATGCATCCGAAGAACAGACACCTGTCGAGCGATAAAATGCCATTCCGTTAAGCCTCGTTACAACACCATAAGCTAGTAATTGTATTACCATCAACCTGAGCGATAGGTCACATGCTTGGTTGTCAGAATCACTAGCAGGTGAAATTAACGGTGAACTGTTAATTGACCATGGGGGTAATATCGCTAATTTACCCCAGCCGCCATTTCACTGGCCATGTGGGCTGTTTGCCCTTCTCAATGACATGCATCTCTACTACCTCGTGGTGAGGAAGTGAAATCATATGTACATTGCAATATATTTCACAACAATATAATGAATAAGAAAATCAAATATTTCTCTGTATATATAATATTTGCCCTTTAAATCTTTAGAAATTAGATGAATGATTAACTTCCTCTCAGATTAGATGTAGTGTTGGGTCACGTAACAATTAGAATTGCCCTTAAAAATACATATCCAAATGTATAACATTGTATTTGGTTTATTTCAGTCTTCTTTATCACGGGACGAGATTGACGGTGAGTGTCCCTGTGTTTGTGGAGTACTGAATCATGTATGTGTGGATACCATTTACCACGTGGGTGGAGGTATTGTGTTGTGGTTGTCACTGGTGGCAGGTAAGGCAAAGCTAGGCAACATGGGTTTTCGAAAATACAAAATTAGCATATGTTTAAGAGGTAAGTTCGATTTTATTGATCTCTGGCCCGTATTCTTTTTTTAAGAAAATTTACACAAATTAAGCTGATAAATGATAAAAGGTCATTATTCCGATAAGTGGAGAAAAACACTTTTCGAATAACCAAAACTGATCTTGAGGTTTTAAGGCCGAATGTTTTTCAAAAAGGCAAAAGTGAATATATGAATACGCAAACAATATGCAGTCACATTGTACAAACAGTACACTGGACAACATGATTACTTCTTAGACAAATATACTTGATGACGCGACTTTGACAGTGGAGTTTGGATCAATTATCCAGTCCCCGATACTGACAATAAAGAACAGCCAAGTCTGTCTCCCAGTCTCTGAGCCACATTATTTTCCCTACTGCCTAGCCCTCCTAGTCTGTCTCACAGTCTCTGAACCACATTATTTTCCCTACTGCCTGGCCCTCCTAGTCTGTCTCACAGTCTCTGAACCACATTATTTTCCCTACTGCCTGGCCCTCCTAGTCTGTCTCACAGTCCCTGAACCACATTTCCCCTTCTGTCCAGCCCTCCCTGAAATAAAACAATCCTGCATATGAAGTAAGTCTAGATTTACTCAGGTTCTGAATTTCCCATCTAACTGGGGCTCTTTTTCAATTTAAATGGGTTTATTTGTCACTTTCAACATATATATATATATATACATATATATGCATTCAGAGTCTAAGCGTTAGTCTAAGAACAGCGCAGCGACCTCTGTAGAGGATGTTACCGAATAACGCTTCCACGAGAACACCGAATCCATATTTAGACTCCTGAAGGTCAAATAATTCTGTCCTCACATAATGAGGTATGCGACCATTGCGTCAATACAGAAACCTAAGTCCAGAAATCTCTAAAAAAATACGATTTAAAGAAAACGAAGTAAATAAAAAAAAGAGACGAAATGACGCTAACGGCGTTATTACAGAGGTCAAATTATTGGCAGCTAGCCGACCATGAACCGATCGGAGGCGGATTGAACTACAAACAGATGATGGTTGTTCAACCAGTTTTTTTGACTGATGTGTGGAAGGATCTAGCCCGCTTGGAACGTATATTAAGAGACTCTGTTTCAGCGACAAGGATGCCTCATATAGTATTCCCTGCATGTCAGACAATTAATAATGTGCAAAAGTAACTATATAGTTAAGACACAAGACGATATCCCGTGTATGTAGCGCGGCCCGATGTGCCAGGCTCACACCTTCAGTGTTTGTAAACAGGAGTAATTTGCCTGAACCGAAGGACCCCCGAGAGTGCATGCATGCTCCGAAATGAATGAACAGGACATATATAACGCGTTTTTGTCAGTCGTGTGAAGACTGATCGGTGTGAACAATCTCGACGTCAGCCGAAAATAAACGGTGAGAGATCTCATCTGAAACCGGATATCGTCTGCTCGGAGGAACCACGAGCTGCTCACGCACCACCTCTCATGTAAGGTTGAAAGGATAAGTTAATACCTTTGCTTTTGATAAATCGTTGCTATCGATTGGAAATATTTATCATTGACTCGAGACTTATATTCACGCCATTCACTCGCCACTTAAATTGCATATTCCCATAAATTTGAAATATTTTCATGAACACGTGAATGAGAAATAATGAAATGTCCGTATGCATGTATGCTGGTCTGTCTCACGGTCCTTTCTAAAATATTATTTCCCCTCCATCTTGGCCTTACAATAATGTTGTTTTCCACGTGAGCGTCTGAATGGCGCCGCATGGCATTTTTTGTCATATAACGAAAAGCTCTAGACTATATCTAGTATCTAGTTTTTCCACAAGTTCTTAATCTCTTTACTCCTTACTCAATCCAGTTTAAATGGTGCTATGTCTTTCGAAATTACCTATTGTCAGAACATAAACGCTGCTATCCTGCATGTTTATGGACACGGCTGTCTGTAAGGGTTTATGCCCCCTCATTGCAGTTGTATATTGCTCTAGTAAGTATTTTACTAATAGGAAGAGAGAAAAGGTTAACTAGCAGACTTGTTAATCGACAGTAATACTCCATTATCTTCAATTCAACAGACATTTAGTTACGTGGGCTAATTCAGAAGCGTAGTAAGCCATTTTTTTCGCGTAAGTCCGATAGGTTACAAAGCTATATATTTAGATAGAATTGAGGGTTTGCCCAACCATTTAGCAAAAATCATGTGTAAGCCCGGCTTTTTTTCATAATGGTAGCTACGCCACACAATGCCTGGCTGAGTCAATGCTGAAACGGCCATTGAACCGAAATTATTCATCCTGGATGTTAAGATCCTGCAGTTAGGCAAGGGAGATAAATGTGTGTCCAATTCTGTGTGCTAGCTCTGCCACTGGCGGAACGAAATTTGATTTCATCATACAATTGACATATCGTCTTGATTTTGTAATTATTAGGGAAAGTGACGTTTGAGAATTGACTTGATTTTAGGAACTGCAACTTATATTGTACGAAACGTGACACTTGAATTTATATACGAGCAGGGCTTTGTCATAATGCTGAAATGGTGCCAAGTAACACTAACAATATCTAAATAATATACAATCGCTAGCAAAGACGACAGAGACCTATCGCAATTTCGCGTATTCATAAATAAATACACAATGGAATGTTGTGTAATAGCTGTATAAACTTCACATCATATACAGGGGCGGTGGGGTAGCCTAGTGGTTAAAGCGTTCGCTCGTCACGCTGAAGACCCGGGTTCGAATCCCCACATAGGTAACCTACAATGTGTGAAACCCATTTCTGGTGTGTCCCCCGCCGTGATATTGCTGGAATATTGATAAAAGCGGCGTAAAACTAAACTCACATCATATTCCTTTCATTAAGCATCTACCTTCATGGCAATACAGTCAAATCCCGATGAGTCGAATGCCGGTGTGTCGAATATTATGCATAACTCGACATAACTTGTACATACAAGAGTCACCTTTTTTCATCTTGAAACAGGTGGACTATGGCTACACTCATAATTACACTCGTAGGTCAGATACTTCGGTCAGCTTAAATATATAAGAGTGATCTGTCCTATGAAATAGATATACATGTACCCAACAAAGCCCATTTAAGTCAAGAATCTGTGGGAAGACTAGGTTATCACTGTAGTAATGAAGAACGTGTCGAGGCTCCTATTCAAGATATTTTATGATAATATTTAGGAAAGTTTTTTCTGTTTATTGCGAGACTAGATGTCAGTCAATTTTAAGGGTTACCTTTCCTTTTTGAAATAATTCACTTCCTCAGAACTATAAAACGTTGAAGTTAGCTGTGTATGCAAAATGCTTGCCTTGATCCGTGCTCGTGTTCGATTGCCTCATTATACCGTACTAATACCGCTAAATTATTATACTTGGTTTAATGAGCATCAAACCCATCCATTTGCTTCATTAAGAATTTACCATTCGCGTTTATGACAAGTCATGTCAGATATATTCTGTATATTCTTCTGGAAATAGGACAGCTAATTGGCGCTACTCACAGTTATAGGAACTGCGTCGCACTTTCAGAAATGCTAAAGTCCTAAGTGAAGCAAACCAGATTTTCTCAGTTTCTGAATCACCTTCTCACTTGAGCTCCTTTTCAATTTAAAAGGAATTGTTTGTTTCTATCAAAATTATATATATACTACAAGCAAAAAGTATGAGAACATCCTAAAATTTGATAGTCATATATAATCTTAACGTGGTGAGGCCATTTATACCCCAAGGTAAATGCAACTTCTTGTATGTTTAATGTGCACGTTAAACGGCATGTTAGAACATAAGTAAACCAACTGATGAAATATTTGTTACGCTGATAGAAAACCGGTATTTTGACATGTATTCGGAAAACGTCGTAACACTCGGAAATCTTCGGATATTTCCTTGTTTTATTTGTGCCAAATATTATTCACATTTTTATTCTATCATGATTAAAAATTGTTATTAAAGCTTAATCCAGCAAAGAGATTTTGTTGTGTCTTTGCTCTATAAATCAAGCAGTAACTCGGTTATATGTATTTTTTTGTTTAAAAATATTTCATGCAATATATTGCAATACATATCGCAATACATGCTTTCGCATCGCAATATATCGCAATAGGAATATTCTCTGCAATACCCACCCCTAATATTCAGAGACTAAGTGTAAGTCTAGGCAGCTAACGTGTGCGTTTTAACACTCATGCACACCAACCTTTGCACTTTAGGCGATATCCGAGATTCGACATATGTACATGCTCCCAGACTGTAGCGAATACCTGTCCTTATCGGTCTGAATTATTTATACACAGAACGGCATGGGCTGTAGTATCACCATGAAAGGGTTCTTTGTGTTAGATACTGATAGTTACATGGTAACTGTCGTCCCAGCTTATCTACCACTACAACGAACACTGGATTGGCCAGCTAAAAGCCTTGACATGTTCTCAGGGGAGTACTAGTACTAGTACTCAGTGGGATGTTCTCTAGACTTATGCATAGTCTCTGAAAATAAATATACAGTAGAACATGGTTATAGCGAACACGGATATAGCGTACAAACGGATATAGCGAACAAATTTAAAAGTCCCGGCAACAGTCCTTTATAATATCATTAAAATTATACGTGATTAACGAACTCGTGAGTAACGAATTAACGGCTATAGCGAACTGATTTACTACCCCCAAGACCCAATTAACGACGTGATTAGCGAACTCACTCAGTTTCAGCTCAGCCACTTAGCGGTACAGTATACATCAATCTTGTTGGTGGTGAATCAACATTGTTTGATGGTCATTAATTAATTAACAAAACAAACATATCGTGTTTAACCCATTCAACAACCGTTTTCGTTGACGAGGACGGTATCCATTGCCGTAGTATGATTGGCTGCCTTAGGTCACATGTCTGATTTTGACCAATCACGATCCTTATAGCAGTCTGTCAAAAAAGCGTCATTAGAAACCAATCTTTATCCAATAAAATCGCTTTTTACAACTGATGGAAACAAATAATTCCCCTTCAACCGAAAAGGAGCTTTATGAGGTGGGAGATTCAGACCTAAGAACATCTAGGCTTGCTTCATTAAGGGCTTTAACAATGCAGAATGAATAGAAAAAAGTATTCAAATCCAAGTCCAGAAAAATTGGTCAAGTCTCCAATGTCCTCAAGCTGAATAAGTAAGAATTATTTCGACTATATTTGGTTTTCAGCATTTAATTTTCTAGATATACATCTCCAAAAAAGACTGCTATGTGTTTGAGACTACATGTAAATCTAAGTGTACTATAGGTGCCTAGCAACCGACCACGTGACCAGTTTGGGTCAATTCTCCAGGCGGAATGGCGAAAAAAAGAGAAGATTATTACTAACAAGATAAAGATCAGCCAATGAAAACATTTGTCATGCATAGCTGCCCACAGGCGAATCCCTGGATAGTTTTGTTTTGGAAGCCGATTTCGGGCCGTCTGATTTTACACTTTTACTTTGTCCTTTAAATAGTTTTAATGAATCCGTTGATTCTTTTTCACTCGTAAATTGACGTAATGTGTCTACGGCAGTTACAACTAGCAACAAAATCGAAGTAACTTTTCCACTTTTTTCCCTTTGATATCAAAAACTCTCAGGTCAAAATGAGTTTCATCTACGAACACCTATACTACCTGCATTATCTATCCAAATAAGATATTTCCGCTTTTCAAAGGCGTTGAGGGATTGTGACCATTCAATCATTATTTTAAATACGCTAGAGTACGTCACTTAAAGAAATACTCCAATCAACGAAAATAAATATTCACAAGGTATTTGCAGGCCTTTATAATGCTTCGCGAGATTCAGCATTGTTACCACATCATTGGCCACACCAGTTATTACGTATTGTTTAAATGTGCAAACATTAAAGGTTGTCAAGAAATGAAGGCATCTGATAATACCCCTTTATTTAGTCTTGTGTACGTTTCTTTTGTGTTGTGTGTATATCCTTTAACATGTATATACACAGGTCAGTCTGAACTCCAATGGAGTGGCTGGCGGATATTTATTATCTTACCGCGCACATAAATGTCGCTTTCTGATCGGCTGAGCCAATCAATGTACCCCGCTTCAATGTTACCCGCTGGAAATGCTGAACTGTGGTACTTCGTGTTAGTAGCGTTTGGGCTGTTGCTTAACTCCGGTACTCCTTATTATGATCCAATACCCGTGCTCCAAACAGTTCAAAATTAACATTGAGTACGTTGTTCACTGGTCCCTCGGGGCCCATGGGTTGATGTACCCTCTGTTTGTTTATGTTCCCCTCGCCCTTTGCGGTCAGGGAACGTAAACAAACATGGAGGGAACATCAACTCATGCCCCACTCGTGACCACTGAACAGCCTATAATGATGCTATTGTCTTCTTATGTACATGTACATTGAACATCGGTGTGTGCAACTCAGGGTTTCTCGAAGGAAAAGCTTAGTCCGTTAGTTCGAACATCGGATAACTCGAAGTAACTTAGACACGATGGCGTTTAGCTGTATATCATTTAAGTATATACGTGAGGGAGACTCAACTATATGATCTGTCTGTCAGTGGGTTACATGAATTGTTATCATGGTGTCGCCTTGTCCACAATCTGCACGCAACGAGTGACAGATGAATACTTTCCTTTCTAATTTATGTTACCTATATAATGTTGTTTTGCAGATTGTACAGAGGTGTTTGACTTGTTTGATTTCTGGGACGGTAGAGACGGAGATGTAGACGCTGCCAAAACCGGCGACATGTTGTACTGCCTCGGGCTCAACCCCACACAAGCAACCATCAAAAGCAACGGCGGTGTCGATAAGTTCGGTAGGTATAAACACTGACTGAAATGAGCGTTAACCTCAATATTTCAGAAACATCGAAACGGGGAAACCATGCTTCGAAAGGATGCATACGGGTAAACCTTCTCAGTCCCACTCACCACTCATTTTCTGTCAGTACGCCATTCTTACTAATCCAATTACAAAAAACATAGGCTGAACTCGTGGAATATCCCAGATTTGACTTAAAAGAGAGAGTGAGTGAGTTTAGTTTTACCGCGATTTTAGCAATATTCAAGCAATATCACGCCGGGGGATACCAGAAATGGGCTTTACACATTGTACCCATGTGGGGATTCAAACCCAGGTCTTCGGCGTGACGAGCGAACGCTTTAACCGAACACACTGTATTCAGTCCGTTTCTTACGATCTACCAGAAATAGAAGATAAACGTTCACATTTTAAAAGGTCATGATGACCCAGTAATCTTAGGAGGTGCAGTTCGCTGTGCCGAGTTGTTTCCTCAGCCCGTGGGTTCGATTTCCGGTTGGCCTTGATCATGTTTTTAGATTTGTCAGCACCCAGCTCGTTGGTTGCACAAAAGTGTTAACGTTGTGAGACATGCATGACTTCGGGCTTTTCTCCTACATTAAGCAGACACGGCATGATATAACTGGAATACTGATCAAAACGGTGTAAAAACCCAACCCACTCACTCTTTCTGTATTTTCTTAACGCTCTTGGTGTCGGCTGAGTATCCTTGAGGTTAAAGCGTTCGCTCGTGACGCCGAAGACCTGGGTTCGATTCCCCACATGGGTACAATGTGTTAAGCCTATTTCTGGTGTCCCCCTGGGCGGTTGGGTAGCCTTGTGGTTAGAGCGTTCGCTCCTCACGCCAAATGCCCAGGTTCGATTACAATTTGTGAAGCCCATTTCTGGTGTCTCCCGCAGTGATACTGCCTGAATATTGCTAAAAACGGCGTAAAACCATACTCATTCAGTCAGTCTGGTGTCCCCCGCCGTGATATTAATGTTGCTAAAAGCAGCGTAAAACTAAACTTACTCACTCGTAACTCTCTTTATCATCATAACGGACTTAGATGTAACGTTCTTTGTTTCTTTCCAGGTGAAAAATCCTACCAGTTAGAAGAATTCCTCACAATTTACGAAGCTTGCGCCAAAATACAAGACACCGGAACGTTTGCTGACTTTATGGAGGCCTTCAAAACTTTCGACAGGGAGGGACAAGGTTTCATTTCATCTGCCGAGTTGAGACACGTGTTGACGTCACTGGGTACGTCATCTTGAACACATCTTGAGTGAGTGGTATTTTACGCCGTGGACAGCAATATTGCTTGCTACATCACGGCCGGCTGAAATGATCTCACTGGTAGAAATGTTAATGCTGGTCCCCATGGAGACCACGAACCTAAAATATCCGAACAAGGGCAGGGTCCTCTGATAGGGAGCTGTAACGATATATCGTAGTATCGATAATCGTGATGCTTTATCTGATGATAGATATATCGATACTTTTTTCGTATCGCGATATGTATCGTTGACCTTAAAACTGTTAATTGTCACTAGAAATTGACCGTTATGTCAAAATTTACACTGTTGCTTGCTTTCTTTTAATGAAATTAACTAAAGATAGCATATCGTGATATGCATCGAATCGAATCGTATCGATGTCGCGATACGTATCGTATCGTGAAATTTCTGTATCGTCACACCTCTAATTCTGATTTAGATCATTGCTCTGTTATTATTATTACGGCTCACGTGGTGTGATTCCTCGAAATACGTATATTCTGTCACAACTGCCCCTTTCTGAAATGTCGTGAAGTAATCTCCACTAGTGGTGGTCCGATTAATTGAATTAATCGTAGATTGGTCCCAGTGACTAAACGACCAAGCAATCTTTTTTCGTAATCGAACACGGCCAATCTTGGAACACTTGTTTGCATTAACAATATTTTTCACAAGGCTGGTTTTGTCTGTGTCATTAAATTTACATTTATAAGCACCACAAGCTCGTTCCAAGTCATGATTGAATTTATCTTAGAGAATCCAGGAAATATGTGTTCCTAACATACTAATCTTCAACAGAAAATAACAGGAACATTTGATAAATGACGCTAACCAATTATTTTCGATGATTGATCTGTTGTAATGGACCAATCATCAATTATTAGATGTTTTAACCAATTCCCAACATTAATCTCTACAAGAGTGGTGACCTCAACCTTCCAATAGAAACTTTCCCTGTATGTCGAGCAATACTCCAGTAGTTGTTGTTTACATTTCGCCACCTTTGGGATACAACCGAGCTCTCTCAACCGAGATTTCAAAGATCGTCAAACGAATCCAGCTAAGAAACTGTTTAAGTTTACAAAGCCTCAGTAAAACGTTTGATGGCAGACACCAGAGGGTTTCATTTACGACGCACCAGTGTCAGGCCAATGCAATTCCCTGTTTTCACATGTACCATATGTGTATATTAGGTGAATAATTGACCTGCCTTTGCGTGAGTTTGTGACGGGTGCCATGGATGGGACAGGATACCCTCACCTATTAGCGAACACTTGTATCAACACTAGTTGATGGTGATTTATAAACACATGACACGATCGGATTCGTACAATTGACTCTGCTTTTAGTAGAGATTTCTTTTGCAAATGGAGATCTAGTCTGTCTCACAGTCCCAGAACCACATTATTTTCCCTACTGCCAAGCCCTCTCTGCAGTGCTACAGCCCTAAATAAACCAAATCAACATTTCCTCAGGTTCAATTGTGTAGGGTTCTGAATCTCTGGTCTCCCTGGGTCTCCTTTTCAATTTAAATTGGCTTGTTTGTTACTATCAAACTTATATATATTAAGAGACTAAGCGTTAGTCCAATGGAAATCGTTTTGTCGATTCTGTATGACTGAAATACGGATGAATCCAGCGTTGCCCATTTACCCTCCATCTCTTAATGGCCACTCTACGTTTTGCTTATAGGTATTTCAGTAGGATACATTGAGACATAATGTAATGACTCAACTACAAATGTTTTAGAAAGTTTGAAGTTACCGCGTGAAAGTTAGTTGTGCTAGAAGACTTGTGGTTGGTGCGCTCAGCTTCCCAGCGTAAACGCCTGATTGGATATAAAGCCAGCAAAGGGAGGTAATAGAATGATCGACCTGAGTCATAGATGCACCCAGGGTACTGGTGGAGATTTATCGGAACGTATACCCTGGAGATTATCGAGGATGTTATTTCACGGTTTATCAGCTTCTTGTGGGGGAAATCCCGAAGTAATAGAGATCTAAGACGTTTACCAATTTGATGAAAACCCAGGAGCATGGTGCCGACAAACCTGGAAACAGTATCGGGCCGGGATTTGAACCCACGACCACGGGTTATATCCCATCCTATCACGGCGTGATTGGTTTCTGAAACCAGAGTCGTCCTCACCTTCATAACCCATTGTCTCACCTAGTTTCTGTGTTTCTGTTGTGCAGGTGACAGGCTGAAGGACCCGCAGGTTGACGATATTATTCAGTGTGTGGACTTGAGAGAAGATCTTGAAGGAAATGTCAAATATGAAGGTGAGAAATTACTGTCACATATGCCTCAAATAATTCACACATCAATATTTCGTGACTTCAATTGATACTTCGCAGTTGAGCAAAACTTGGTTTGAAAACATGGTGATGGTTTAGCTATGCATTTTTCCATTTAAGGTAGTGTGGTATATTTATTACAAGATGCTCTCAAATAGCCCCAGACTGAACCACCCACTTCTCACTAATTTAAGGGCTCAGTCTATTTTCAACTACAGATGCCACCCAAGGCCTACTATTTAGGGGTTCATTATTTTTCCTAATATTGATTCCACCTACGTCTTACTAATTTAATGGTCAGTCTATTTTCTACTATTGAGTCCACCCACTAACTACTATTGTAAAGGTTCAGTCCGTTTTCTATTATTGATTCTACCCACGGCCTACTATTTTGAAGGTTCAGTCTGTTTTCTATTATTGATTCTACCTTCGGCCTACTATTTTGAAGGTTCAGTCTGTTTTCTATTATTGATTCTACCTTCGGCCTACTATTTTGAAGGTTCAGTCTGTCTTCTATTATTCATTCTACCATGGGCCTACTAATTTAAGTGTTATGTGGAATAAAAATAGTGAATGCAGTGACTCCGATTTGCTGAGCATATGAATTATATGATTCATCATTTCGGTGGTTCCTCATTTTTCTGTTTTAAATGAAATGGTCATTTAAATTGAATAGTTCAGAGTACCTTGCAATCAAAGGCCACAGAAAAACCTCGATTATCCAGACAGGGGCGTGATGTACTAATGCCGGTTCTCTTTGTTCTTTCAGATTTCATTACCAGAGTAATGGCCGGACCTTACCCAGACAAGGACAAGTAAAAAGTTTAAAATTCAAAACCAATCTGATGCGCCAAACAGAGTCAATCATCAACCAATTATATCGTTTGAATAGATTATCCAAGGTGAAGGTCCTTTGAGAAGCTGCTGCCGGAAGTTGCCAATCTCGGGACCTGAAGCGACACCTAGCGAACAAATTAGTCATAGGCCGACGAACATCTAGTGCACAGTATTTGAATTTCGTCCCCTTTTCATGGAGAAGCACAGTTCACGAAGATTTCGTAAAACCTACCTCGTAGGGAATATTTTGCCGTGTGACATTTTTTTCTATTCATTTGTGCAATATTTTTTTCAGAAACCGATTCCGGTAAATGTTTTTCATGGGAAACCGGTTTCGGTGCCCGTTTTCCATGGGAACTATCTGACTTTTCACATGTACAGTGAATTCATCAGCAACGTAGTCACAAAATGATGAACATCTTTGTGGGTATCCTTTCTGCAACCTCGGCGGTGTGTATAGTGAAATAATTCCCCGAATTAAAGATTTTTCACTCAATACATCATCATTGTTTGTCGTATCTAAGCACTTGGTAAAAATATTGCAACAAAATACAGATATTACAGGAAGTACAACATAAATGATAAACGGTCATGTCTAATGATGTTTTACGAAAAAACCCAAACAGTTTTGTTACTACCCTCTCGTTCAGTTCAATTCACCCGTTAAGTAGCCCATGCTACTATCAGGTTTGGCACATGTCATCGTATCCCAATTGCGTAGATCGATGCTTATGCTGTTGATCACTGGATTGTCTTGGCCAGACTCGATTATCTACAGACCGCTGCAATATAGCTGGAATATTGCTAAGTGTGGCGTAAAACTAAACTCAATCACTCGCTCAGTTAAATTCTCTGAAGTGATACTTGGATCATCGTATGATTCACTATATACAAGAGTCAGGGTGGGGTGGTGCCTCCATAAAATTTATGGGTTTAACTGTCAAGATATTCATATATCCGGAGATTCTCTTATCCAGACAGTATTTGAGAAAACGAGTCCGAGGGTCGTATATTGTGGGTATGCTGACAGCGGTCACAGGCATTTGTAATAATAGACTATTATTAGTGAGTGAGGTGTGAGGTTTAACGCTATAGTCAGCACTGTTCCGGTTATGTCACTGTGACATGGAATAGCTGAGACTGGACCAAGCGAACCACTGACTGGACACGTGAGGTCCATCCGCCATCAGCCAGGTCTTAGAAACTGCTAGTCCGTTTTGATTTAGTAGCTTAGACTGCCCTTACATTGACTGGATGGGTTGTTTGAGTGCTTGTAAGAACTTCACTTAAGTGTGGTCAAAATGAATCACAATCTAATTCCAAATCGGTACGTGATCAAACATTCATTTCAACGCTGAGTGTAATGAAAACATCAGATCAACTTTGATGTGTGCGCGCGCGAGCGCACGCACGCACGCACGCACACACACACACACTTCCCCCCTTTTGTCCAGATCATTGAAACAGGTGAAAATGAACTGTGCACCCCCTCCTTTCTAAACTACCGCATCTCTGGGTCATGTGATATCACCAACATGTTGCCAGCATCTGAAGTAACATGCGGCGTCCTTCTTGGGACTGCTCAAGGGATATCCCTGGTATCTTGGGCAATGACCAAAACTGAGATAAATGTCATGGATATGCTTTCAGAACATGCGTGGATGTTCGGGACACGTGGAACTAAAGAAGCCGCTGCACTTAACCTTTACCTGGTGTATATAAACACTAGTATCGTGGGGGAATGATTAGCGGGCTAACGGGAAAGCTCGCCTCCTCGCAGGGAACTGCTTGATATGAGAACCTGTTTAGGTTATCAACATTTCACAGTCGTTTTGGCTGGTGCTTGGTGGGGCAGCCTAGTGGTTAAAGCATTCGCTTGCACTGCCGACAACCCGACTTCGATTCCTCAAATGGGTAGAGCGCTTGAAACCCATTTTTGCTTACCACCGCCGTGACATTGTTGGAATATTCTAAGCGGCGTATATTCTCACTGACTCACCGGTGTTTGGGTGTGTGAGTTTAGTTATAGGCCGCTTTTAACAATAGTCCAGCAATATCACGGCGTGGGACACCAGCAATAAGCTTCACAAGTTGTACCCATGTAGGGAGTCGAACCCGGGTTTTCGGCTCGACGAGCGAACGCTTTAACCATTAGGCTACCACACCGCCCCCATCGGTGTTTGGGGAATGAGGGATAGCAGAAAATGTTATAAATACGATTATATATCTTAGTCATATGTTCAGGATTGTTTTTCATTACTGCTTTAATAGCTTTTTTTATTGTTTTCACAACCCATTCTGTTCAGGTCACCCGGCATATCAAGCTGAGTGTAATGGTTTTGTCGATGCCCGATTTTTCCGAAACATTTTGTGACATTTTTCTCGTGAGTCCCCGCCATTGACTCCTACCAACCACAAGTAACGCTAGTCTTCCTTTTGTTTGGAACAAGAATAATGGTATAGCGGAAATTATTGTTGGTTGGTTGTTGTTTAACGCTCACTCAGCAATATGCCAACTATATGGCGTCGATCTGTAGATAATCAAGTCTGGACCAGACAATCCAGTTACCCACTGCATGAGCATCGTGCTACGACATGTGTCAACCAAGTCAGCGTGCCTGACCACCCGATCCCGTTAGTCGCCTCTTACGACAAGCATGGGTTACTGAAGACCAATTCTAAGCCGGATCTTCACGGGTTGTGGAACCTATGGAATCTACATAGTGTAACGCAATTGACGTGAGTTTGAATCCTTGAATTCTATCAACCTACCAATTACAAACAAATACAATACAACTGAGGGTCGATTTTTGTTTTGTGTAACGGAAAGCTCTATGATGTCAGTGCTTAATTACTGAGTGAATCACATCATGAGATTTGATATACGCAATTGAGATACGCTAAGGACACGTTTGAATCGCGCTTGCGAGCCTGACAACTCGATCCCGTTATTCGCCCTTGCGGACATACAGAGGTTTCTGAAATTCAGTTTTAACCCTAACATCTTCACAGGTTGTGGATCCGGTGAGGGATGAGGTGAGGTGAGGTGAGGTGAAATTGGGTTTAACGTCGTGCTTGAGAATATTTCGCTCATATGACGACGTGCATGCGTGCGTGTGTATGTGTATGTGCGGCTGCTTGTACTAGCCCAGACTTAAGCTGGTTTTATAGTGCCAGCCCACTGAGATAACATACCGCAGTGAAGCATGAATACCCCACTCAGACACAGTATACTGACTCCGAGCCGACCAGTCCTTGTTGTACCCATTAATGCCGAGCGCTAGGCAGGGACCAACAAGTACCATATTTGAACGTCTTTTGGTATGACGCGATCGGGGATCGAACCCGCGACCTTCCGCTCTCCGGGCGGACGCTCTAACCACTACACCACGGAGGCGGTCTTGTAGATCCGGTAATACTTGGCAAACATAATAGTATGATAGAGAGTTTTGATAAAAGGAAGCAGAAGGTGTTTCCTCAAACAGGGATTCATTGTAGTTTTAAGCCGATGTTAACAAAATTTCATGTTGATAGCAATGCCCCAACCCGTGGGTTAGCCATGATACGTAATATACAAACCCTGTTCACTATTTTAAATTTAATCTGTTTGATCAGTATGAATACATACATATACACACGCAAGCACGGACACACGCTTGCACCCGCACAATACATACATAAATCTGTTATGAGCTTCGGAGAGTGCAATTTCAACATGTCATGTTTTAGATGGTGTTGAAACAGACACGTGAGCAAACATTTATCTCTATGTAACCACATTAATATAAAGAGCTTCAAATTACACGTGTTCCTTGCACAGTACTCTAACTGTAATAGTGGAATGCATTTTTCGTGCATATCTTTACCAAACGGCCATCGAACAGCTTCGTCAGCACATTTTAGTGCTCAGGTGCACTTACCCTGTGGCGTGTAATTTGACAGTCGTAGGTTAGTTATCTCCCCTGTTTACTGTCTCCTGCGCGCTGCGTGATCCCTACATTTGTTGAAAAGAGATACATGAATATTTTGTTAAAATGCAGAAGCGGATGTGTTGTTTCTGTCACATTGTGTGAAAAGGCCACAAAGATCCCAGCATAGCTCATGTTTTGATTTCGTAAGTCCGAGCGGAAAGTATCCCTTATATGCTAACAGTTACAGACCACTGACTGACTGAGTTTAGTTTTACGCCGCTTTTAGCAATATTCCAGCAATATCACGGCGGGGGGACACCAGAAATTGGCTAAACACATTGTGCCCATGTGGGGAATCGAACCCGGGTCTTAGGCGTGACGAGCCAACGCTTTAACCACTAGGCTACCCCACCGCCCCAGTTACAGACCAACAAGGAGGAGCTAGAGCAGACATTTTACCCTGGAGATGCATGTCTCCTGTCTATCTGAAGAACCCTTGAATACATGATTTCAACTAAAAATTATTAGATGTTTAATCACCGAGCCATCTGCCCCACGATTAAGGAAGAAGATTTTCAAGTTTGTCACGTTGGATATTTGGGAGGAGTGATTTGCACAAGCTTGTCACGTAGAAGAGTGGAAAGAAAATTTTACACAAGTTTGTCACGTGGGGTATTTGGAAGAAGATTTTGCACAAGTTTGTCACGTGAGGCAGTGGGAAGAAGATTTTGCACAAGTTTGTCACTTGGGATATTGGAAGAAGATTTTGCACAAATTTGTCACGTGAGGCAGCGGGAGGAAGATTTTGCACAACTTTGTCACGTGGGACGGTGGTATATAAACGTTTGAAATGAAATGTTTTACATCATCGGTCATGTGTCTTTTTGTGATTACAAGGAAGACAAATAAATCCATTGATTTTTTTAGAATCAACGTGGTTTTAATTACAACAGCACACAACTCTCCAGACTATAACGATTTGATACCTGAAGGTGGTACCCTACTCAGACAGCATATTGAAGCCTGGGTAAAACATACACAATTAACACCATTGCCAATTCATGTCAGTGTACCTAGGACCATTGATAAACATTCCAACTGATTAGTTGAACGTACAGTTGTGTTCACGTGTGTTGGTATAGTGTGCCTGCTGGGTTCAGCATATAACATTTACTGCCTGTGTGTCTCCTTGGCTACATCATTCGAAATATTGAAATGGTGAGATCCCATTCTACAAGCTGACTCGATCGAGACAGACACGGTTACTTCCCTTTAACCTTTTCAACCTCAATAGATTATTACTTCTTTCACTCGAGGGTCTAGCGGTTAAAGCGCTCGCTTGTGAGTGAGTGAGTTTAGTTTTACGCCGCATTCAGCAATATTCCAGCTATATGGCGGCGTTCTGTAAATACTGGAGTCTGGACCAGACAAACCAGGGATCAACAGCATGAGCATCGATCTGCGCAATTGGAAACCGATGACATATTTCAACCAAGTCAGCAAGACTGACCACCTGATCTCGTTAGTCGCCTCTTACGACAAGCATGGGTTACTGAAGACCAATTCTAAGCCGGATCTTCACGGGTTGTGGAACCTATGGAATCTACATAGTGTAACGCAATTGACGTGAGTTTGAATCCTTGAATTCTATCAACCTACCAATTACAAACAAATACAATACAACTGAGGGTCGATTTTTGTTTTGTGTAACGGAAAGCTCTATGATGTCAGTGCTTAATTACTGAGTGAATCACATCATGAGATTTGATATACGCAATTGAGATACGCAAAGGACACGTTTGAATCGCGCTTGCGAGCCTGACAACTCGATCCCGTTATTCGCCCTTGCGGACATACAGAGGTTTCTGAAATTCAGTTTTAACCCTAACATCTTCACAGGTTGTGGATCCGGTGAGGTGAGGTGAGGTGAGGTGAGGTGAGGTGAGGTGAGGTGAAATTGGGTTTAACGTCGTGCTTGAGAATATTTCGCTCATATGACGACGTGCATGCGTGTGTATGTGTATGTGCGGCTGCTTGTACTAGCCCAGACTTAAGCTGGTTTTATAGTGCCAGCCCACTGAGATAACATACCGCAGTGAAGCATGAATACCCCACTCAGACACAGTATACTGACTCCGAGCCGACCAGTCCTTGTTGTACCCATTAATGCCGAGCGCTAGGCAGGGACCAACAAGTACCATATTTGAACGTCTTTTGGTATGACGCGATCGGGGATCGAACCCGCGACCTTCCGCTCTCCGGGCGGACGCTCTAACCACTACACCACGGAGGCGGTCTTGTAGATCCGGTAATACTTGGCAAACATAATAGTATGATAGAGAGTTTTGATAAAAGGAAGCAGAAGGTGTTTCCTTGCCAAACAGGGATTCATTGTAGTTTTAAGCCGATGTTAACAAAATTTCATGTTGATAGCAATGCCACAACCCGTCGGTTAACCATGATACGTAACATACAAACCCTGTTCACTATTTTAAATTTAATCTGTATGAACAGTTTAATAGCGGAATACATATACACACACGCAAGCACGGACACACGCTTGCACGCGCACACACACATACATCTGTTATGAGCTTCGGAGAGTGCAATTTCATCGTGTCATGTTTAGTTTTAGATGGTGTTCGAAACAGACACATGAGCAAACATTTATCTCTATGTAACCACATTAATATAAAGAGCTTCAAATTACACGTGTTCCTTGCACAGTACTCTAACTGTAATAGTGGAATGCATTTTTCGTGCATATCTTTACCAAACGGCCATCGAACAGCTTCGTCAGCACATTTTAGTGCTCAGGTGCACTTACCCTGTGGCGTGTAATTTGACAGTCGTAGGTTAGTTATCTCCCCTGTTTACTGTCTCCTGCGCGCTGCGTGATCCCTACATTTGTTGAAAAGAGATACATGAATATTTTGTTAAAATGCAGAAGCGGATGTGTTGTTTCTGTCACATTGTGTGAAAAGGCCACAAAGATCCCAGCATAGCTCATGTTTTGATTTCGTAAGTCCGAGCGGAAAGTATCCCTTATATGCTAACAGTTACAGACCACTGACTGACTGAGTTTAGTTTTACGCCGCTTTTAGCAATATTCCAGCAATATCACGGCGGGGACACGAGAAATGGGCTTAACACATTGTGCCCATGTGGGGAATCGAACCTGGTCTTAGGCGTGACGAGCCAACGCTTTAACCACTAGGGCTACCCCACCGCCCCAGTTACAGACCAACAAGGAGGAGCTAGAGCAGACATTTTACCCTGGAGATGCATGTCTCCTGTCTATCTGAAGAACCCTTGAATACATGATTTCAACTAAAAATTATTAGATGTTTAATCACCGAGCCATCTGCCCCACGATTAAGGAAGAAGATTTTCAAGTTTGTCACGTTGGATATTTGGAGGAGTGATTTGCACAAGCTTGTCACGTAGAAGAGTGGAAAGAAAATTTTACACAAGTTTGTCACGTGGGGTATTTGGAAGAAGATTTTGCACAAGTTTGTTGGGGAAGAAGAAGATTTTGCACAAGTTTGTCACGTGAGGCAGTGGGAAGAAGATTTTGCACAAGTTTGTCACTTGGGATATTGGAAGAAGATTTTGCACAAATTTGTCACGTGAGGCAGCGGGAGGAAGATTTTGCACAACTTTGTCACGTGGGACGGTGGTATATAAACGTTTGAAATGAAATGTTTTACATCATCGGTCATGTGTCTTTTTGTGATTACAAGGAAGACAAATAAATCCATTGATTTTTTTAGAATCAACGTGGTTTTAATTACAACAGCACACAACTCTCCAGACTATAACGATTTGATACCTGAAGGTGGTACCCTACTCAGACAGCATATTGAAGCCTGGGTAAAACATACACAATTAACACCATTGCCAATTCATGTCAGTGTACCTAGGACCATTGATAAACATTCCAACTGATTAGTTGAACGTACAGTTGTGTTCACGTGTGTTGGTATAGTGTGCCTGCTGGGTTCAGCATATAACATTTACTGCCTGTGTGTCTCCTTGGCTACATCATTCGAAATATTGAAATGGTGAGATCCCATTCTACAAGCTGACTCGATCGAGACAGACACGGTTACTTCCCTTTAACCTTTTCAACCTCAATAGATTATTACTTCTTTCACTCGAGGGTCTAGCGGTTAAAGCGCTCGCTTGTGAGTGAGTGAGTTTAGTTTTACGCCGCATTCAGCAATATTCTAGCTATATGGCGGCGTTCTGTAAATACTGGAGTCTGGACCAGACAAACCAGGGATCAACAGCATGAGCATCGATCTGCGCAATTGGAAACCGATGACATATTTCAACCAAGTCAGCAAGACTGACCACCTGATCTCGTTAGTCGCCTCTTACGACAAGCATAGTCGCCTTTTGTGGCAAACATAGGTTGCTGAAGACCTTTTCTACCCCGGATCTTCACGGTTAGCGCTCGCTTGTCACACCGAGGACCCGGGTTCAGTTCCCCACATGGGTACAATGTGTGAAGCCCATTTCTGGTGTCCCCGCCGTGCCACTTAGTATATTTAAGGGTTTGTTTGATTCGAGATCATCACGAAAAGCATATTTTCCAAAAGAAAGCGCTTCCCGCTTCGGCGTTCGAACCCACTATCTGCGGATCATAGCATATATAGTTCTAGCTATAATTGTGACTTTCTATCCTGTCAGATGATATTACATGTATATTCATATGATGTCATAGTCAAAATCATTATTTTCACGTAATCCTTGTCACCTGAAAAGATTGCTATTAAAGTCAATATATACACAGTTTGTGTTGTTTGTTCGTTAATTGCTGTTTTTGTTGTTGTTATGTTTAGTTGTTGTTTTTTGTTGTTTATTGGGGTGGGTGTATATTTTATTGAATTGTATATTTACAATTTTTATATCAATTTCTTATTTAGGGGTAGGGGTTGGTTGGGGCGGATCGGAGTTCGTTCCCTTGCCTTAGGTATACCATTCAGTATACCTTGATTATATTTGACGTTAGATATGCGTGGGTGACATGGAAGAGGTTTTAAAGGGGAAAGACTTCTGTGTGGCTGAAGGGTGAATGAGTGAGTTTAGTTTTACGCCGCGCTCAGCAATATTTCAGCTATGGGGCGGCGGTCTGTAAATAATCGAGTCTGGACCAGACAATCCAGTGATCAACAGCAGGAGCATCAATCTGCGCAATTGGGATACGATGACATGTGTCAACCAAGTCAGCGAGCCTGACCACCCGATCCCGTTAGTCACCTTTTACGACAAGCATGGGTTACTGAAGATCAATTCTAACCCGGATCTTCACGGACTGTGGCTGAAGGGATTGCCCTCCGACGGAACCCATGTTAGGTTACGTCTCCAATACTCTATTGCTCATCTTTAGATGCGACTAAATTGTGGACATTTTAGGTTTAATACGTGTCATCGTTAACTGATTTGATATATACTCTATAAAAAAAGGAAAGAAAGAAACGCACTTACCTTAAATAAGAAATTATATTAAACGTATGTAAGTACACATAAGTCTATTACGCTTGAGCATAGATGAGGGAAATTCGAAACACGGATGAACATACAATGTTGTACTAATTCTTGTCATTGTCAGCATTAATTCAGTTCACTCACTGCATATGTGTGGACACAAAGTGTTCAGGACATCACTTGGTGACACCGTCACTGCTCGACACCGCCTTTGAAGGGATTGCACAGGTCGTCGGATTTTTGCTTGGGGAATTCTTCATCATTCCTCCTGCAACGCATTTGCAAGTTCTGCATGTGTCTGAGGACGATGGTGACGTTTCCGGACACGTCGATCAAGTTCGTACCATAGATGTTCAATCGGGTTCAGATCAGGTGATCTGGAAGGCCAGGAAAGGACACTGACGTTTGCATTGGCGACACAGGCACTCCTTACACGAGCTGTGTGGAGTCCGGCGTTGTGTTGAAACAGGTCCCTGTGGCGGTTAAAAAGAGGGAGGAGGTGAGGTCGCAGGTGTAGCGATTTGCTGTAAGGCTGCCTTGAGCCGCCACTAGCCCTGATCTACCCGTGTAGGACATGGTTCACCACACCATGACGCATTCGTCGGCCAGATCTGTCCACCTACAGAAGGCAGTTCGGCGTAAACCGTTCGTGTCGACGTCGATTGACACGTTGTCTCCCCGTCCTGTCGTTCCAGGGGGAAACACGATTCATCACCGAACCAAACGCGTCACCAGTTCCCCAGGTTTCATGAATGTACCCTGTTGCACCATTCGACACGTTGTTGTCGGTGTAGTCGTGTCAGGCCAGGTACAACTTTTGGTCGATATGCTGGAATTCACACTTCTCTCTCTGATGGTTTGGTTGGAAATTCATAGAAGACCAGGAATCGGTGACGTAGGTGAAACACCCGGATGAATCGACCCTGAGCAGGAGAGGTCACTCTTGGTCTTCCACTGCTGTGACAATCTTGGGTGGAATTGAAGCGGGTGTATTGTTGCCATAATCGAGATACGGTACTGTGGTTGACATTGAAATGTCTTGCAACGGCAGACTGGGATTCCCCTGCTTCCATACATCCAATGGCGATATTTCAGTCTGCAGCATTCAAACTTCGCATTTTTTAATCTTCGTTTCCGTCGTAAAGTTCGCAATGAAAACTTAGGTTTGGCCTTTTTATCTACTCTACTCTTGTTTCCGACACACTACACGTGCAGTACGTGGAAAACGTTTTTTGCATGTACTTTTCATGTATCGTTTTCATTTTTTATCACAAACGTTTGCAAACACATATGTATACAACAGCCCCGACATGATTAACGGGATTCAAACATAGGACTTGACTTAATGACGATTGCTGTCAAAATATATCGGACTAAACTGCTGAAAACGCCTGTGCGTTTCTTTTTCTTTGAAGAGTGTATATGAAATATTGTTGATTTTGGCGTAAAAGTACAATAAAGCCCTGTTTGGCAAATAAGCCCGTTCTGCTTCCTTTTGTTCCAAATCTCCATCAAACTTATTTGTTTGTCAAGCATTATCGGATCTACAACCTGTGAAGATCCTGGTTAGAACTGATCTTCAGCAACCTCAGAGTGAAACGAATCGTCTGCTTGTCATAAATGGCGAATAACGGAATAGGGTTAGAATTGATCTTCAGTAACCCATGTTTGTCGTAAAAGGCGACTAACGAGGATAGGGTGGTCAGGCTCGCTGACTTGGTTGACACATGTCATCGGTTCCCAGTTGAGTAGATCGATGCTCATCCTGTTGATCGATTATTTACAGACCGCCGCCATATAGCTGGAATATTGCTGAGTGCGGCGTAAAACTAAACTCACTCACTCGTCTTCATCCTCTCCATCATCACCATCATCGCATTCAGTGTCAGCATACAGTGTTTCGTTACAGCCTTCAGAGGCTTCACACGACTCCATGCAATTGATTCAGCTGACATTTCTCGCCAATGAGGGTGTTTCATGGGCTGCTTTACCAGGACCTTTCCATACCTACTAATGTATCAACATATCAGTAGTATACTTTTTCAACTTGATGGGGAATCCACCTGAAGATATGTCTCCACTTCTGAGACTTTTACATGTGCTGCGCTTGAACTTGAACAGGGCTACATCAAAGAGGTGTTTAGTTTCATTTGAAAAGATTTCATACAAGGTTTGTCTAAAGTATCTATAAGGTTCTACCTCTTGGAGAAACCATGAATGGAAACATTCAAAAATGGATGCTATGTCAGAAAATGTAAAAGTATTCCTGGTAATAGAAGGAATATTTTACCTTAATAATTGAATGTATCTATTGATCTGCTCAAACCGCTTGTTGAACTCAGCAACTGCAAATTAACAACAATGATCGTACTAGGAATGACAAGATTTTATGGATGGCCAGCTTATTTATTGTACAAATACAATGTACAGCAGTTGATCATCCATAAAGACTTGTCATTGCTATTGCTTACAACTTCTAGAATGCGTCTTAAACAGTTCATTGATCGCACTCTTATGTGAACCATTATATTATTGACTGCCATTGTGCTTGCTCGAACGTCGAAATCGTCTGGTTTTTGAAATAAGAAAAATAGCGATTGTGAGGCAAAAATTTATTTGAGAGCTTATTTGAAGAGTGATCTAGAGCTTCTATGGTTAAGCCTAAGAAATGTAGGTATTTTAAAAAAGTACTGTAATTATGATTATCTTGGCACGGACCTACCCTACTTTTACCTGAAACATGAACGGTGATGAGCCCCATGACGATGACAAAACTTCAAGGTTCCAGCAAATGTTATTCTAAACTGACGTACAAAAGAAAGTACACACCTTATGCGTTGGTAAAATGTTTTCCTAAAAACAGCGTAATATTTAGACAGGTGTTTTGATTGTGACTCACAAGTCACAAACATTGTGTACGTGTTGAAATAACATCATAGATATCGTACCCAATTGGAACATTGCTAACAAAATATTTACGTTTTTCAATAGTCTCAAAACACCAGGTCTATACTTTCTTTTGTACATCAGTATACTTTTCAACGTCCAAATATCAAACAATTCACTTTTGGATATATTTATAGTCATCAATTTGACGTAAATATTTCTTTTGTTATGGAAAGATGTGATTATCTACAGTTTTGATTTCTTAATCGTATTTTCTTACCAGCTAACTTAACGGGATGTCATCAAGACTCTATAAACAGACAAATATGAGTGTATGTGTACATGGTCAAAATTCGTATTGGCTCAGGTGGGTAGGTCCAAGGAGTGCTGGGGCGGTGGAACCTAGGGGTAAAAGCGCTCGCTCGTCACGCCGAAGACCCGGTTCGATTCCCCACATGGGTACAATGTGTGAAGCCCATTTCTGTCACTCTAAGGAGTGAGATAATAATCGTCCTCTGCATCACCGTCTTCGGTTCCAACATCATCAAGTCTATCATACTGATAGAGGACTTCGTTGCAGCCTGCAGATAGTGTCAAGAAAGACGCCCCGTCTGGATGCCAAGCAATTGATTTGCCATGTTCTTCTTCAAAGTAAGGAAGTTGCATTGCCTCTTTAGGATCGGTTAGCACAGCTTCCATGTCATCTTCATTTTCCACATACCAGTAGAATACAGAGTCCTGGAACTTGATGAGGAAGTCTTTGCCATTTGAAGAGATGTCTCCGCCATACGGACCAGTGTGCTTGTATCTCTGTGGTATGACGACATCAAAGAGATGTTTGAGTTCATCATCTACGATCTCAAATACACCAATAGGTTTTGTATGTGAACTCAAAATGAAGAGTCGACCACGTGGTGAAACCAGGAGAGTCTGGCTGTCCTTCAGAGGTGACCTGGAATCACATTGAGACACCCTTCACTCTGAAGTTCCAAGTGTCATACAAATAAAACTAAGGCTATGTGTACAGCATATCTCAGTCACCTTTCATCTCGACACAGTAATGCAAAATCATGTCTTTATCATCGTTAAGCTGCGACGATAATAGATCATTGTATAAATGGTATGTCTGGAATACGCCAATCACCGTATGTTATTGAAAAAAACCTTCATGGATAACAACCATGAGTGCGACGTTTTCGATACAGATTCTTGTGATCGGGTGGTCAGGCTCGCTGACTTGGTTGACACATGCCATCCAAATTGCGTAGATCGATGTTCATGTTGTTGATCACTGGATTGTCTGGTCCAGACTCGATTTTTTACAAACAGCCGTCATATAGCTGGAATATTGCTGAGAGCGGCGTAGAACTAAACTCACTCACTCACTCATGCCGCTCAAAGAAATCACCATACGTTTTAGCTTAAAACAGGTGACTTTTATAAAACCTGCATATTCCGTAAATTCGGGCGATGGGGTAGCACAGTGGTTAAAGCGTTCGCCCGTCACGCCGAAAACCCGGGTTCGATTCCCCACATAGGTACACTGCGTGAAACCTATTTTGGGTGACCCCCGTCGTGATATTGTGGAATTACCAACTCACTCACTTTATTCCGTCAAGTTAGTTTCTGTTTGTTTGTTTATTGTTTAACGTCGCACTTAGCAATATTCCAGCAAAATGGCGGTAGTCGATGATCAACAGCATGAGCATCGATCTACACAATTGGAATACGATGTCATGTGTCAACCAAGTCTGCGAACCTGACCACCCAATCCCGTTAGTCGCCTCTTACAAGTATGGGGTGCTGAAGACCAATTCTGATCCGGATCTTCACGGGTTTGTCAAAGAGGAAGCATATATATTCCCGCCATACGGGCAAATATATTCCCGCCATACGGGCAATGGGTTATCAACAGTTTTGAAAATACACATGTAAAGCAGTTATATTTGTAGTTTGATATTTGAAATATTGTATTGGAATTTCCTTTCAGTCTGTGGGGCGGTGGGGTAGCCTAGTGGTTAAAGCGTTGGCTCGTCACGCCAAAAAACCCGGGTTCGAATCCCCACATGGGTACAATGTGTGAAGCCCATTTCTGGTGTCCCCCGCCGTGATGTTGCTGGAATATTGCTAAAAGCGGCGAAAACCAAACTCAGTCAGTCAGTCCTTTCAGTCTGTTCCTTCCCCCCCATCTCAAATCACTGTGATCACACCGACAAGAGGATTAAATAACATTCAGGCGTACATTGATTATAGACACATGAATATGTTATGTTACATTCATTATTATACGGAGTGAAGCCCATTTCTGGTGTCCCCCGCCTTGATATTGCTGGAATATTGCTACAAGCGGCGTAAAACCAAACTCAGTCAGTCAGCCATTATTATACGAGTTCGTAGCCTAGTGGTTAAAGCGTTCGCTCGTCACATCATAGACCCAGGTCCGATTCCCCACATGGGCGCAATGTGTGAAGCCCATTTCCGGTGTCCCCCCGCTGTGCTATTGCTGGAATATTGCTAAAAGTGGCGTAAGAAATATTAGCAGTATTCCAGCAATTTCAC